TATAGCCATATAAGAACACAACTTCACTAGCTATGGCAGCAATGGTAATTATAAGTTCTTTTCCCATCAGTATTTGAACTTTACCCACAGTTTCTTCATTCATCACTGTTGACGATCTCTTTTCTCTTGATTCACCTTGGATGTCTTCAAGGACTGTTTTCATAGGTTTCATCAGTCTGAAAACTACTCTCTCATGTAGGGAGCCTTTGTAACAACAGGTTGCAAAACTTTAATAATTTCAGAAGATGTCCACTTCAGTTTTGTTGAAAGTGTGATATTACCCCTGATCACAAAATAATTTTCCCCTTTTGACTCAACAGTATCTTTTTTTATAGGCACCATAATCAGACTATAGAGCCCTGGTGATTTAGTGGGTTTGGCATTATCGGTTCAGCAGTTTGAAATCACCAGCCACTATGCAGGAGAAAAATGGGGTTTTCTACTTATGTAAAGATATAGTCCAGAGCACTGTTATACTGCACACTTGATGGTAGTGAGTTTATTTTATTTTTTTAATGAGTCAAAGTTGGGAACACTAAGAGGATGGTCCCAAGGTAAGCACTTGGAACTCACTAGCGGCTCCACAAAAGAAACATGAGTTTTCTGCTACTGTAAACAGTGACAGCTTTGGAAAGCCACAGGGGAAGTTTTACTTTGTCCAATAGAGTCACCATGAGGCAAAACTAGCTGATAATTAAATAAGACTAAGAAAAGTGTATTACTGAGAAAACGTTTCTGCAGTCACCCACAGATTGAAGAAACATGTTTAGGCCTGCTTTATATTGAAAGAAAAAAAACCCCACCTTGGTTTGGATCCTAACTCTAACAGCAATATTTGTTCACTTACACTTATGTAGTGTGTCAGGAGGTAGTATATTGGTGATGAGTTGGGCTGCCATCCAGCTCCTCGTGGTCAGCAGTTCAAAACCACTAGCTGCATCTCAGAAGAAAGGTTGGTTTTCTACTCTGTAAACAGTTAAAATCTCAGAAACTCACAGGGGGTGGCTATGAATCAGAATTTAATTTGTTGTAGTGAGTTACACAGTGTGTCGGCAATAATGTAAAGGACTCAATCGCCCTACTCCATCTCTCATAAAACTAGACTAATAGAAGAGGCAGGAACCATGAATGTTCTTGATCATATGTTTCCTATGATGTTAGTGGTACGTGTTATTTCCTTTAAGCCTGACTCAGAAATGGATAGGTACACAACTATTTTATGAAGAGGTCTCTATCAAATTAAGCAATATATTCCAATTTTTCATTGCCTAATGCATTGCCCTCCCAGGATAAGGAGTGTGAGATTTGAAACAGCATAATATGTGAGCCTTTTTGTTGACAATTACATCATGGAAAATAATGCATGTCAGTTCTGAATTGAATATTAGTAGTTTATAAATTACTAATCCATTCAAAATTTACATGCAAAAGGCAAGATGTGGGTCCTATTAAAAATACAAGACACTCTAGCAAGAAATAAATGGATATATTTAGAACAAACAAAAGTATTGTTAGATGTTTTATATTATTAATTTAACACAAACCTTTATGAAAATATAAAACTCTAAAAGATGCTCCACATGAGCATATGTAAAGATTTCCCACTTAGTAAAATAAGTTAAGTTTTAGTCATTTTACTTCCTATCTCCCTTGTTCCTTTAGATGCTTTTTGTATATTAACATTTCTTGATTGATATAAATAAGTTTTTCAGAATGGTATAAACGCTTAAGTGTTCACCTACACATGAAAATGTTGGAAGTAAAAGCATACTTGAAAAAGAAACACTAAAACATTTTAATTTATTTTTAAGTTGGAAATTTATTTCTGAAATATTAGAGCCATGGAAACACAAAGGAAACAATTCTAGTTGCAATGCCTGGAGTGATAGTAAGCAAAAATTGAACCAGCTACACTTAGAATATTAAAATTAGAACTCTGAAGCACAACTTCCCCTTCAACATTTACATACTAAGCAAAATTAATTTTTTTGATATTTATTAAACATCATCTGTAGAAAAAATTTTTTGAATAGAATGCTCATATGGGCTGTGTGTGTTCAGTCAATTTCTTTATGATATTGCGTTTTATTGTACTATAATGAAATTTGTAATGAGAGCTCTTAACTGAAAAAACATTCACTTTATTTAAGAAATAGACATGATAAAATCTATCTCAACTAAATAAATCTTTAGTACTAATTGCAGAATGAGTCATCACATAATATATACATCATAAGTCTCATCATAGTAATATTGTACCAAGAATAATATATAAATTGTTCTAAGTGGATATTTGAAAAATATGTGTTAACATGTTCATCACAAGTTCACACACTAAATGATTTTTTAAAATCAAAAGGTAATGAAATTTATAATTACACAAGATTATTGGAAAGTTCATTATTTCCAAAAATTAATCACATTTGTTTCCCAAATTATTTGCATTTTCTGATCCAGACCTTCTTCATTGCATTTTTCATCTCTGCATTTCTTAGAGTATAGATTAAAGGGTTCAACATAGGGGTGATGACAGTGTAAAACACAGTCAGTGATTTGTCGATGGGCAAGGTGGAAGGAGGTCTCACATACATGAAAATACAAGGGACAAAGTAGAGGACCACCACAGTGATGTGGGAGCCACAGGTGGATAAGGCTTTGCGCCTCCCTTCCTGACTAAGGTTCTTCAGGGAATGTAGAATGACTCCATAGGAGATGAGCAACAGTGTAAAGATGACCACACACATTGCCCCATCATTGGCAACCACAATGAGACCAATGATATAGGTGTCAGTGCAGGCAAGTTTTAATAAGGGGTACAAATCACAGATGAAGTGGTCTATAATATTGGGGCCACAGAAGGGAAGATTGTAAACAAGGGGAAGCTGAACTGCAGAATGCACAAAACCTCCAACCCAGGCCAACAATACAAGCAGAACACATACTTGTTGGTTCATGATAGTCATATAATGCAGAGGTTTGCAGATTGCCACATATCGGTCATAGGCCATAACCACCAGAAGTAAAATCTCAGCACCACCAACTAAGTGTCCTATAAAAAGCTGAGTCATGCAAGCTTTAAATGAAATGGTTTTCTTCTCATAGAGTAAGTCTATAAACATATTTGGAGTAACTGAAGTAGAATAAACAACATCCATAAATGATAAGTAGCCAAGAAAGAAGTACATTGGGGCATCGAGGGTTGGGCTAACCACCACAGTCACAACAATGAGGAGATTGCCCACCATTGTGACCATGTAGATGAGAAAGAATAAGACAAATAATATTTTCTGGCCCTGAAGGCTCTGGGTGAGCCCCAAGAGGATGAATTCAGTCACATTGTTCCTTAGTTCCATATGCCCTTTGTATGTCCTTATTTCAGAGTACAGAGCATGTGTACCTGTCAATATAATGATGCCTGGTGAATTTTGAAATCTTAAGATAACTTATTTATTCCAATATTAAGGATTTATATATTCAATTACTAAGGATTATGATTTATTATTTTCCAGTATTAAGACTACAAGAATATAAAATTGATGAAAAGATGGTCTCTAACCTTAGCGATCCTAGAGACTAATGGTAAAACAAATGAGGAGTGTGCATGGGGGAAAAAAAGATTGTTAAAATAAGCAAGTTTCTATACTAACTTTCCATCTGAAAATAAATCATATTGTACATAAACTCTGGTGTGCAGTTAGATAAGCAAAAATAAACTAAGTACAAAAATTTAATGTTGAAAGAAAATAAGGTTTACATTATCTTTACTTACAAGAAGAAATTGTTTTCTACCTTATAGGAATGGAAGAATTATCTGTAACTGATAATCCGATTAGACATATTTGACTATTTCACAAATTTATGGAACTTTTACAATGCAACAAAGATATTCAATAGAGAAATTAATTTTGCAAAATAATTTACACTTTAGAGAATATATACAATATAAATATGTAAAATAGGTTAGAATTTCTAACTAGCTGGCCAGTATAAGACATACAACCTAATGACAAAGTGGGAAAAGGATATAAGTAGCCAGCTAAAGGAAGTGTACGTCTAAGGGGTCATCAAACGTATGAGAGAATGAGGACTCTCGCTTGTAAACAGCAAAATGCAAATTACAATAACAGATATCACTTTATTCCCTCCTGTCAGAAAAAGTTTGACAAACAGCTTATAACTGTAACTTGAAAGATATAATTTCTTACACTATGCACCAGCAACTGTAAAGTTTTCATTTATTAATATTTTGGGAAAATAATATCAATGCCTTATTAATATATATTAAGGATTAATTTTAATAATGATAAAATATAAATAATTTTAATACATTAAAATATATCACAATAATTACACTCTTTATAATCTATGCTATAGGAATTAAAGCACCAGTACATAATAATATAGCCATGAGAATTACTTATTAGTCATCAAAAGCAAGAACAGAAAAAGGATTCTAAGTGAATTCCAACTAGTAGAGAAAAAGTTACATGTATCTAAACCAAACACAAAAGTACAAAACAGAATACATCTATTAATAAGCATTAATTAGAGCTATGCTTGTTCTTTAGAGAATTCCCACAAATTACTGTTAAATGAGAAAGAAATATGCAAAAAACTGTGCTTATAAATGTTTGAATGTGATTATATAAATAAAGGAAAATATGAAAATTCGTTTTGTTATAAACAGATTGCATTTGGTCTAGTGATATAAATAAAAGTTTAAATTGATTTTGAAGGCATATTCTAAATAAAAGCAAGACAAATTGCACATTTTCAAAAATATATATCAACATATTATTAATGTCCACTGCACTGTTAAGTATTTAAACAATCCTAGTAATAGTATCAAAATAAAATCCAATAGTCTCTAGATCTCTATTGACATTGCCTTCAATATTATCTGACCTCATAATTTGCCGGATCCCCACTTCATGGATTGTCCTTTTTAATTATCATCAAGTCCTCTCCATGTGTACTAGGTCCTGTTCTCCTTGTTACACTCAGAGCTGAGCTCCTATAGTTGCTTCTTCCATTTCCTGCATCACTAATTTTCCTCTCAGTTTTGCATTATTCTGTCCACACATTTCTACTGTATGAAATAGCCATTAATGAAATAATTTACACAACATAACCCCACATCTATTCAAACAACCCCCCTATTCTCAATTCTAAATAAAACCTCCTACACATTGACAAATCCAATGGTCACTTGCAGTCCTTTTCTTATTTAGCCAATCATGTCAATGGATTCAAGTACTAACTTACTTGCATAGCAACACCATAGTTCTTGCAAGTCAATCATTCAAGTTTTATTGATACTACCTCATTTTCTGATCATGAAAATATTTGCAACAGTGCTTGAAGAACATTTCATTTGATTCCATAAAAAAATTTACAATAGTCTGCCCACAATTATAAATTTAAGATATTCACATTTATTATTAAAATATTATATGAGTTACACTTACCGGTAAGTTAGTTCATAAGAATATTAACATTAGTGCAATGGGATGTATCCTGGATCCATATAGCATGAAAATATTCAAAAAGAATAATACAAAATCCAGTCAATTCTCATATATTTTATTGTTCACAAACAATTTCTAATGTGATTATCAGGATCACTTAGGAGAGTACTAAAAGCCTATGACTCTCCAAATCACACCACTTGTATACTAGATATAAATCAAAACCTATTGATGACTAAGCATAAAAATACTCCCTGAGTTACCTGAAGCATTAAAAGACAGTCATTGGACTGGAGTTGTGAATGGTGGTGCTTCCTCTCTCGTCCTAAAAGGTAATGCACTGATGCCATCTCTCTGGACATGGGGAGTAAGGGATACCAGATGCACCATCCCCACATCAGTAAATATTTCTATAGGGTCAACTCTTTCTATACTTCAAAAGGATTGTCTCCTCTCAGTCTCCCAGGAGAAGTGAGATTTTTTTAATTATTGGACTTTTTAAAAAGAATATTAAAAATGTCATGTTACCCAAAGAAGTCTGAATCTTCATTGTAAACTTGTCCAAAGAAAAAGGGAAGGTAAATAAATAGTTTGAGGTTTAAAGAAAATTCTATGTTCTGAACAAGCAAATTGTGAATTGTTTAGATAAAAATTTTATAGCTTGTATTGTAGAAGTAAAGTAGTGAAATAACCTTTAGAGCATTCTGAATTTCAATCCTTCATACTTGCCTGACTTTGTAAAGCATAGCTGGTTTACCTAAAGGATGGATAATAATCTCATATTCATATTTTGTTATGCTCTGAGTTCATGATTTCATTTGCTGAAACAGCTATTCACTTAAATGCTTGTATTGAAAATCACTCTCTGTGCTAAAGGTAAAAATCTGTGGACACTATTTACATTTGAACTGCAACACTTATGGCTTAGTCATTCAATTTCTTCAACCCCAAAGGTGCCTCTACCTAATTAAACTCACTGGGCCTTTTTCATAATTCTTAGAGGAGCTTCCACTCTCCAGAGAGCCACAAGGTTAATACCCACATAGATCAGGATTTATAGAATAGGGACCTCAGGGGAGAAAATTACAACAGAACAGCCTGAAGTCAAATCACCAAAAGTGAAAAAGAGTGGACAGAATTGGAATATGTAAATATTATCTTGCCTAATTTATGAGCTTCAAGCAAACTTTTTGGGTGTATAAGGTTGAGTTTTAAAGTTGTAAAAGTTAAAACTTATCATAAGAAGATAAGTAACGTTGTTTACAGAACATTAGGAACAACTCAAATGCATATAAAGCAGATTAATACCCTGTTGTGCTCTTCAAAAACATATATTGAAGTCCTAACTTCTTTACTTGAAGGTGAAAAGACCTCCATTTATACATAGAATCTATGAATATAATATTAGTCAAATTAGCATGCGGTCACACTGAAGTACAGTGGGTGCCATTGGTGTTCTAAAAATGAGAGGATACACAGAGACAGAGAAACAAAGGATCTAAGTATATATTAAATTGGAGAATCAACCTAGGAATTCCTGGAGCTCCCAGAGAGCTAGGGGATGGAGAACAGATTTTCCTTGATTGCCTCAGGAGGAATTCACACAACAATCCACACACAGGGAATATTTTCTTGCTGAGTCATCAATCGGCCTGATGTGGGAATAAATGTGATATAATGAATATATGTGGTTTACAGTCATTCATTGTGTAGCATTTTGTTATGAAATCATTAGGAAACTACATCCCTGTGTATAGACCTGATTGTCTAGAGAATCATATCCAATGATAATGTATACCACAAAGTTTTATATCAAGAAGTAATTCTATATTGAGAAAGCATCCTAGCCCAGTCCAACTCATCCATAAATCCAATGCTAGTGCATATATCCCTCTTCAAACTCATGTAGCCACATGCCAGTGACACAGAATGTTGAAGCAGGAAGTAGAATGATCACAGGCCAGTGAGTGCCGAGTCACATGGATCCAAGGTCAGGGTGCCAACCTTGTTCAGTGTTGGGTGGCCCACATGAGTGCACCCCTTGAGGCAGGTATAGAGATCTATAAAACAAGAAGTAAAAGTGGCAGAAAGGAGCAGTTCCCTTAGTCCCTCACTCTCACATCAAAGGCTGCACCCCAAAGGAGGTGTCATCAAGCTACCATTTGATTGATAGGCTTGACTCCACTCCTACCCAGGAGTGTCTCACTCATTTAGTCCATACCAACTCATAGTGACCCTATAGGACAGGGTAGAACATTCCCTTTGTTTCCAAGACTGTAATTTTTTATGGAAGTAGAACACCCCATTTTCTCCTGCTTGGGAGCATCTAAGGACATAAAATCATGCAAGTACCACAATCCCCCTGACAGTGAAAGTCTTGAGTTTGTCACAGAGAGAGGTTCAGTCAGGCAGATGACATCTGATCTTACTTGCAGGATGAAGAAACTTTATTTCAGAGCAATTCATTGTAAACTTGATTTAAGGACACATAAAGTAGGGTTCGGTCTTCTTAGTGATTGCATTGCCTTCCTTCAAAATATAGTTTGGAGTCCTAGCCACTATGCCTGTGGATGTGATTCTGGTAATAATGTCTATAAAGATATTATCTGTTAGGTTAACATGAGATCAGCTGGAGTAGGGTAATTTCCACTTATATTCACATAAATGAAGAAAAGAGACAGAGAGAAAAAGGATGACAGGTAATGCTGCAGTTGAAGTGAAGGGATTCCAAGCTCTACCAAAAGTTAATAGAACAGATTTTTGTCAAATCTCAAAAGGAAATAACACAGCTGATAGTCTCCAGCACATTTATGTTATTTAAAGCGACGCTCCTGGGAAGATTTTATCACAGCCTTCAGAAGCTAACACTTCACTCTCCCAGTAAA